TGTGGTGGTGCACGCGTGTAATCCCAGCAACTCAGGAGGTTGAGACAGGAGATGTCAAATGTGAGGTCAACCTCTACGTAGTAAGGCCCTAAGTAACTTAGTGAGACTGGTCTCAAAAATAAAAACATACAAAGGGCTAGAGATCTGGCTCAGAGGTTAAGCACCCCTGTGTTAAATCCCTGGTATCAAAAGAAAAAAGAAAGAAAAACACATCAACAGAGTAGAACTAATATTGAAAAAGTACCGCTTGAGAATTGGCTCCAGCACTGGGGTTGTGGCTCAGTGGTAGAGCACTTGCCTGGCTTGTGTGGGGCACTGGGTTCGATTCGATTCTCAGCATCACATAAATAAAATAAAGGGCCATCAACAACTAAAAAATATTAAAAATTTTAAAAATATTTTAAAAAAATGGTTCTAGAATTAGAAAAAAGACCCAAATCTACATAGTGAAAGGACTACCTGGGAAAATTAATCAGTAATGATCAACTGTGAAAAACAGTTCCTAATAAGACTACTCAGTTTCAAAGACAGTGACAAATCCTGAAGCGGTACAGGTAAAAGGGACAAATAACAGTGCATGGTTTAGACTAGGAACAGAACTTTCAAAACCAACATGCAAAGCAAGGCAACAATGGGGCAGTGTTTCTTAAAAACTTAATGGAAGAAAAGAATTCTCTACCTCTTTATGCCTACAGTAATTATTGGAATACTGCTATGATAGAAAGCTATGTCTTTATTATTTTAGTAGCATGGACTTGTGACTATTTATTTTATTCTATTGGTTAAAAATCTGGTAATTTTATTACTTTGTTGCTCATGTTATTCCACCTTTGATAGTTATAAACTCCTTCAGGTTAGCTCTTGGGTTTTAAGACTTTTAGTAGAAGAGTTTTTCCACTGTTTATGGGTTTTTTTTTAAAGTATAGTGTTTTTATATTATGATCAGAGTCTGTGTTGTTTGAAATATTACTTTATGAAAATTACTCATGTTCTTTTTTTTGGTAACATAACCCTTGGAATAATATTCTATTTATGTGGTATTTGAGAAAAGGAAGAAATGTGGGAAAGAGAAGAGATGGATGGCTTCCAGGGGTTAGAATAGGTCTAAACACAGATGTATAGCATAAGAGGACCTTAATGGGTGTTGGAATTTTTCTGTGTCCTGTCTGTGGTGGTTAAAAGAACCTGCATTTCTGTACAAACTTCCTGAACCCTCCAAAGTGAATTTTACTGTGTGTGAATTAAGATGTTTTTAAAATTTCAGACTCAGGCAGATTCCAGCTGTTCACTGTTTCCCATGGCTCAATCATTCTTGTACCCCCTGGAGGGCTATTTACCCTATCTATGTATCATCCAGTGTCCACCCATCATTACTTAGTTGTTTTATTTGAATCATCTAGTTCCTTTCAAAAAGGATTATATAATACCTCTGAATTCATTGGTTTGGTGTGCTAGTTATATTTAAGCAAAAAACCTAACAAACAAAATCTGACCAGAAATGGTATCAGGAAAGAGAGATGAACCATTGACTCTTGAAAGGATATTTAAAGATAATCTAGTCCAATTCAGTAATTTGTTGAATTACATGTGTGAGGGCTGGACCATTCTGGCTAACCAGTGCTAAAGAAAGCTGCTGCATAGTGTTTCAGAGGCAACAGTGTTTTAGTACATTCTGCTTGGGCTAAGAACTTCTTGGGGATGGAGACCAAACCTGGCATTCTCCTGATTCCCTATTGATTTCAGTGCCTGGCACCAATCAAGTGCTCAGAAACTTATTTGTTTGGTGGAATGAAATATTGTAAAGGTATATAAGTGTCTCTATGGAGAAAGAAATACATTAACTGTGCTAGGGCCCTTACAGTTCCTTTGGAACATCTCTATTTTGATCCTACATTGATTAGGTTGAGAGTGACTCATGGTCATTTTTGCCTGTTTGAAGTAGAACTGTCACAATCCTGCTCACCACTAAGAATCACAGTGAAAAAAGCTGCCTTCAATTATGGTGGAGATGTGGAAAATCGCTAGGGGAGATTGTTAAGTTTTAGTTTAGGCAGCAATATGAGAGAGAAACTTTTGTCTAGAAAAAAAGGAAAGTCAAGGAAAATTGAACAATCTCTGTCTTCACTTAGATGGTAAATCATCTTATCCATTTCAATGAAAAATTATCTTCATGCTGATTTAACTAACCGTGCATTTCTACTTAAAGCAGTAAATAGAACAATATGGTAGCTTTGTGTGTACACGGCTGGGAGTGAAGAAAAAGTGTAATGTAACCCATATGCAGCTGTCCTGGTGGACTTGTAATATGAAAGGTGGATCCCACCATAGAGCAGTGTCTATGACTTTTTTTTTCTGCCAAGGGCTAAAGGCCATTGTCTACCTATCAGCCCATAATGTTGGAGATATTTTGATCAAAGTCTCACTCAGCAAATTCCTCTATTGAATGGTAATTTATTTCCTTTATTTGAAAATGTATGTTTAATGCCTCAAGTTGTTATCCTGTTTTTATGTAGGTTTGACTCAAGCCGCAGAAAGCCTGGAGCTCATACATTCTTTGTTATCCTCATTAGCAAAAACAACAGAAAGTTATAAAGACAAAATTAAGTACAAAAGAAAATTGTTTTTAGAATGAGAAAATAAATCTCAACTAATTACAAATTTTTAGAAGCTGAAAAATACCACAAAATTCAGTGAAACATATTTTTATTAGCTCCCTGTCATAAGGTTGTTTTCCATGTTTTGCATAGATGCTCTTTGATCCGTTTTTGTAATGCTGCTTACATAGAAATTAGAATGATTTCAGTCTTTCTTCGGATTGATGCACATTTTTATTTATTATTGAGGTTGGGATTTCCAACACATACAGCCCCACATACAGTGGGGCTATTTGCAATACTGGTTGAAAAGAAACTTACACATATAAGAATTCTGATCAACACTACTTTGTGCAATTAACCATCAAAAAAGAAAACCAAACCACCCAGTTTATGATCCTTATAAAATATACTTCTGAGAGAGAGAAAGAGAGAGAAAATTTTTTTTTTTTTTGACTATTGCCTGTGATAGCTGCCTCCTGGGCTTATCTCAAGTCTGATGATTAGGTCTGAACATTCACTGCCCACACATTTCTGCTCCTGGGAACAGTGGAACCTCTTTCTGTCATGAATATTCTCTGGTTATAGCTAGCACAAGTTTCATTTCAGTAGTTAAAATGTCCAGTTCTGTGTAGGAATCAGCTCTATGAGCTCCATCTAAGTTAGAGCTCACACCTGCTTAAGAATTGGAGGTCCTCATTGGTCATGGGTCCATCTCTTCTGCAAAGCTGTCATTTCTGACACTTTCAGGGCTGCTCCAGGGGCAAATGAAAAAGGTCAACTATTTGTGCAATTCTCATTTAAAAAAAACCCCAAGTCTTCTAGTTCATGATCCTTATA